GCTGCTCACCCTTGTCCAAATGCCACATCCCACCCAAAAAACATCCCGGACCCACTGGTCCTTGCAAATGCATCCCACATTTCCCTGCACCTCACATCTCCATCCCAAACCCCATATCCCCATCCCAAATCCCACATCCCCATCCCAAATCCCACATCACCCTGCACCTCACATCCTACATCCCAAATCCCACATCCCCATGGTAAATCCCACATCCCCCTGCCCCTCACATCCTACATCCCAAATCCCACATCCCCATCCCAAATCCCACATCACCCTGCACCTCACATCCCCATCCCAAATCCTAAATCCTGATCCCAAATCCCCACATCCCCATCCCAAATCCCCCTGCCCCTCACATCCCCATCCCAAATCCTAAATCCTGATCCCAAATCCCACATCCCCCTCCCAAACCCCACAAAATGCCCCTCACATCCCGCATCCCCCAGAGGATGAAGGACCACCCCAAATCCCCTTGGCACACACAGCTCCCAATCCCCAAGGGCCACCAGCTGTCCCCAGCTGTCCCAACCCCCTCTGCCAGCCATGCCAGAGCCACAGGGCCAGGCCAGTGTCCCCAGGGCCATCGGGGGGGCCGCACGTTCCCGCTCTCAGAACGGGGTCACCTCGTTTCTCTTGTCACTGGGTTTCTCTGTCCCCAGGCACTGCGTGGGCCCAGCCCCCCGAGCCCCCAGCCTCCTGCCAGCCCTCCCCGTGTCCCCATGTCACAGCAGGCACCAGGAGCACCCTCAGCTCAGCTCAGGGGACCCTCTTGTCTCCAAGCACCACGAGCTGGTGGCATTGTCCAAACCCTGGGGAGGGATGATGGACAGAGATGGACACAGGGATGGGGCACACAGTGCTGGGGACAATGGCTGTGTCCCCTGCCATGACACCCCTGGGGACATCAAGGTCTCTCTCTCAGCATCCCTGTCCCCAAATCCTTCTGGCCAAGGACTGTGGCACCCAGGGACATCCTGGCAGGAGTTGTTTTGTCACCCCAAACCCATTCCTGGCCCCACCACGGGCACAAGTCCCGAGGGTTACCCAGCACTGCGGCCATGGGATGTGATGCCAGCTGCTGTCAGAGGATGGGTCCTGGCCAAAGCTGGCAGGAGGTGGCACGGGGACAGCCAGGGTGTCCCGGTGGCTCCCGCAGCTCTGAGTCAGCACAGACCCTCCGGGTCGGGCCGTGTCCTGGCTGACTCAGGGCTGCAGGTGCCAAGCTGCCCTTTGCCAAGTCCGTGACCAGCTGGGGATGGATTCAGAGCCAGGCTGCATGGCAGAGGCAGGTGGCATGTCCCTGTTTCTGTCCCCATCTCAGTCCCCAGCCCCACATTGGGGTCACCTGGCATCCCTGGGGACTGGGAGTGGTGGCATCAGTGGCCAGGGGAGGTGTCACAACCACGGGGGTCCTGCTGTGGGTGTCCCCAGGCAGGTGCAGGGGGTGTCACCTGAGGTGTGGCAGGTGCAGGGGGTGTCACCTGAGGTGTGGCAGGTCCCCTGCCTGCTCCGCCTGGCCTGGATTGGATCCTGCCCTGGGCAGGGATGCAGGGATGGGCACCCAGGACAGCACATCCCCCACAGCACAGCCAGCACGTGCTGTTTAATGGGTCACACCGTGACAGGGACACGTTTAATGGGGTCTGGGCTCGGTCCCAGTGTGGGATCAGCTCTGATTTCCCACGGGATTCCTGGCCTGGATGCGCTGCAGCAGCACCAACCAGCAGAGCTGCAGCCATCCCAGTGCCCAGCGCTGCTCCCAGGGCCTCCCCACCACTCTGGGCATGGAGCAGCTCAGAGGGGACCAGGAGGGGACAGCGGGACAAGGGGACACAGCACAGCACCCACGGAGGAGACAGAGCATGGGGGAATGTGGGGACAGGTCCCTCTGGGATGGTGGATGGGAAAGGAAATGGATGGAGGAGCCTGGAGGGGCCCATGGGGGCACTGGAGCCCTGGAGAGTGAGGGAACAGATGGATGGACAGATGGATGGAGGGATANCATGGTGAGCGGGTAGGCCAGGTCCATGCGGCGCCGCAGCCGCCGCTTGCGCTGCGTCTGCCGGTTCATTTGGGACATGCTGCTGAAGTAGATGAGGTAGCAGAAGCCCAGGGAGGAGAGGTCCAGCCAGGGGTGCTGCTTCTCGTAGGCGTTCTGGATGGTGATGCAGATGTCCATGTCATAGGGTGTCCAGGAGTTGTTGTCGTTCTCCCACTCCCACACGATTCCCTTGCCCGGTGCTGAGGAGGGGTCGTAGAAGTTCCTGCGGACGGGGCGCATGGTCCCTGGAGACACAGAGACGGGGGTGGCACCACCAGGGGGACCTTCAGACATCGCTGTGTCCAGCTTCCAGCCCGGCATCCCGCGGGGAATGGGGTACAGAGGCGCCGTGGGGTGCAACAGCCGCTCTGCCCCTTCACTAAAATCCCCATTGCACCCCAAAAGTGCTTCCTTGGGGATAAATCCAACCCTCATCCCACCACTGGGGACAGTGGCTTGGACTGAAACTGGACAGACACTCAAACCCCTCAGGATCATCCTCCTGGATGTCCTGGGAAGGGCAGTGCTGCTCAGCCAATGTGGAAAATGGATTTGCAGAGAATTCTCCAAGGTGAGAATTCAAAATTTGTAGAAAATTCTCTCGCCCATCACGTGAGACTGAAAACAGAATAAAGGTTTTTTTAAAAGCCTCTCAGTCGCCCCATCTCTGGGTCAGAAAAGGCCATAATCCAACAAATCCTTGTGCTTTTCCCAGCTTTTTTCCATCCCTCTGGTCCAAGCCCTTTCCCACCCTCCATCCCCTTGGCCATCCCGGGGCAGGGGAAGCATTTCCCGGTCAGGAGAGGTTTCCTGACAGCTGCTGGCTCTGGCAGTGACGCAGCCAGGAATTGTCCCAAATCCCAGCCCCTCTCCGCTTGTTTGGGATGGATCTGGATCCCTCAGCCCCTCTGGAGCTCTGCAATGGGGAGAGGCATCGCAGCCTCTCCTCGGGTGCCCCCCGG